CTTGTTTCTATGCTTCCTTCCATAAGGTTCCTATTGATATATATGTTGTCACTTGTCTGTCTTCCTGGTCTAAATACTGCTTGTTCTTCTCCCAATCTCATTTCTACTTCTTGTCTTGGTCATTTCTCTATTATTTTTGTATATGTTTTAAAGAATACTAATAAGAGACAAAGATCTCTACAATTATCACAGTTTACATGTTTTCTTTTTTTGGAAATTGGCAGAATGAATTGTTCGACCAATCTTTAGGGACTGTTTGTTTTCCCACTTTATGTATTTTCCATAGCCAGTTTATACCTTATTCTCACATGTATTTGACCATTTCCGGTTCAATTTCATCATGTCCTCCTCCTGCCTTGCCTGTTTTTATATTTGACAATCCTTCTATTAAACTACTTCCTGTCTGCATATTTACTGTAGCTTCATTCATTGCATTGTCTTCTTTTCAAATTAAATATTCAAAAAGTACATCCAAATACTATAGACTATAGTTTATAGTATTTGGTATAGACTATACCATATACTATAGTTTATAGTATTTGGTACATCTTAGGTGTCATTTTTTACAAATCAAATAAGTCAAATTACTTTTGTGTAATATCTAGTGCTGAGAAAAAAAGCCAAGAAAATTAAACATACAAAACATTTATATTTAGTTTTACCAAACAATTATTTACTAAAAATTGCAATGATTTATGGTAAGATTATTCATTCATTTATTTAAAACAATATTTATGAAGAAAAAAATGATATTAAAATAACAAAAGTTAAGTCACAAAAATATATTCCTAAAATTCACATTTAAAGGTAGATTTATAAAATGCAAAAAATCAAATCTATTAAAAGAATATTTATTTACAAATGGTACAAATAATAAAAAACATTTTTACGACAAATAAAACTACAAATTACTGAAATAGGCAATGATTTCATTTCTAGTCATCATGTTAATATTCCGATCAATATGAACATCTGCAGGCATATTATTAACAAAATTAAAAGCAGCCTGATCATCTGCATTTAATATAGGAGGCTCCAAGTCATTGCTATCTATTGCTAAATTATGCAATACAGCTGTAGCAACTATCACCCATTGAATCTTGTTTAATTTCAAATTTATACCATTGCTCAATATTGGAAACCTCCTTTTCCACACTCCATATGAGCGTTCTACACAGTTTCGAGTACGTATTATGGACTCATTATATAAATTTTCTGCACGATTTCTTGTGTCTGCTAATGGAGTAAGTAAGTAATTTTTTACCCCATACCCTGCATCTCCTACAAGTATTGCAGTTCCGAATTCTCCATTTTCAAATTGCCTATTTATTTGGGATTGATTGAAAATGGTTGAATCATGGACAGAACCTGGCCACCTTGCCACGATATTTCTAATTTTTAAATTTGCATCGCAAATGGTTTGAACATTAATAGAAAAGAAATTTTTTCTATTTCGAAAAATTTCTGCTCGGTCTCCTCCTACAAATAAACATTTTAATTATATTTATTAACAAATGTAAGTAATTAACCAAACCTGGAGAAATTATTTTAACATGTGTGCAGTCCAAAGCACCAATAACCCTAGGAAACTTGGCTATGTTGAAAAACCCCACTTGTACGTTGGTTATTTCATCTTCAGTATGTGGAAACTGCAAGTATCTGTTGCGTAAATTAGCAATAGCTCTGGTTACCTGTAATTTATATAGTAAGAAATCTGATAAACATATTTTAAAAGTATTAGCTACCTTAAATATTACCTTGCTTGTTGTACTTTTATGTACACCACCAAAGTCTCCCATTACTATCAGAAAACTACCAGTAGCAAAATACCTCAATGTGATTAATAGCATTTCCATAGGATTTAATGCATGATTCCTAGAAATATAAATTTAATTAGATTATATTTGTCTATACAGTAAAATAATTATTTACCAAACAGTTGGACTTCTTATTTCCTGGTCAATCTGTTCCAATAGTGATACCACCGTTGGCTTTGACAAACGAAATCGGCAAAAAAAGTCTAAATCGTCCCAGTAATTATAATGGTCTCTTCTATTATGAAATCGAGGTACCCTACGTGGTCGTCCTAAGTGCACTATAAAGTTAATTACATCTTCATCATCAGATGAAGATTCTGAACTTGATATTGCATTAATCATTTTTAATATTATTATTAATTAGGTTATGAAATTTTATTTATTTATTTTTCTGTCAAAAAAGGTATCGAATTGCACATGCGCAAGTACAATAACTGCAGCCAACAGAAGAGAAAAAGTGGTTAACTAACCCAGATTTTTTTAACCTGGTTTAAAGTACTGAAAAACGATATAAGGGTTAAAAAATTGGTTAAAATTTAACCTAGGTTAGTTAACCAAAATTTTAACCTCTCACTGAAAAACTGGGCCTAACTTGAAAATCAACGAACTGCTGAAATAGCAAAACTAACGAACGACGTAGATATCCTTTGAAACGCATTTACATGAAAAGAAATCGCCGCAGTAAAATAAACAACAATTAAATGGATTCATTACTCTACGACGTTAGAATGATTGAAAACACTTTTCGAAAGATACGAACTAAAAAACAGAAAACATTCTTCGTTTTATTAAGACGATTTCATATACGAGGCGACTTTAAATATACTTCAAAGAATCAATCAAATTTAAAATGCTACAAATTAATGTACACTGTTAGTTTAAGCAGCATTTTATTTATTTATATACGAAATTTCATAAAAATCTAATAAAATTTGAGCGAGTAAAAAATAAAAACAAATTGTCATGAGGTTATATTATATTTTTAATTTCGCTCTACTGAAAACTTGTTCTATTTGACATATCAAGTTTTGGCAAATAGCCACATATTTATGCTTTCGTTCCGATTAAATGTCATGTCTGTTCTACTCTACAGATGTGAAACCTGGTAAGTGACAAAGACCCTCACAGACAAGCTGCAGGTCTTTGTTAACAAATGTCTACGAAGAATTGTCCATATATTCTGGTCTAATACCATCAGAAACGAAGATCTGCTACACCTGACCGAACAAAAGAGGGTAAATGAAATTAAGTCCAGAAAGTGGGGTTGGATCGGCCACACACTCCGAAAAAATAGTTCCAGTATCGCAAAGACTGCCCTAGAGTGGAATCCCCAAGGGAAAAGAAAAAGAGGTCGCCCAGTACAAACTTCGAGAAGATCCATCATGGACGAGATAAGAGGCCAAGGAAAGTTTTGGAATGAGGTGAAGGCTTAGCGCAAAATAGAACCCGATGGCGCGTTTTCACTGAAGCTCTATGCTCCACTTAGGAGTTCAAGAACCTTATATATATATATATATATATATATATATATATATATATATATATATATATATATATATATATATATATATATAATTCTTTGGAGGGTAACTTTCGGGAAAGCGTCAAAACAAGGATCAGCTAGAGATGGTATAAGCCAGCTTGGTGTAGAACTTTATTCTATATGTGAAATTTTCGGTGATATGTTGTCACCTTCATCAGCACCTAAATGGAAAACCTATTATAGTACAGTGGTGGAAATCAACATTTAAAAACCTACATTGAAAATGTTCAGTTGGTCCTAGTTGTAAAAAACACTGTCACAAACATGTTAAAAATATTAAAAAATACATTTAAAATTTTGAATAAAAACATTACAAACAACAGGGTAGTTTTTCAAATACAAACACAACAAAAAATCTAAAATTTACAACCTACAAAAACCACAAATAGAAAAGAAGAATTAATCTTCTTTTTTGATGACATATTTCTGTCAACATCCGGGTGTCATATGTAACGAGGTTATAATTTTCACTTTTGCACATCACAACCACATGGATACGAAAAGAAAGAGCCCTAGGCAACATAATAAGCAAGGAAATAAAGTCCCCTCTAAAGCACAGGTAGGTAATCTATGCATGTCATGATAAGTTCCCCACATTTTCCAGTTTGTTACTTCTTGTCAAGTCCTGTTGAAGTAGAAAGGAATAAATACAACTTAAGTTTTCAACATCTTTCTTACAGTTCATAGGAGAGCTGCAGTTATGGATGTAGCACATTTCTATGAAGTTTCTCTTAAATTGGTTGTCAACCCTCTTTAGTACTTGCACATTTTCATAGTTAGCAGTGTGTCCAGTATTCTTAATATGTTGGCTAAAGGCTGTGCTGGTGGGCTTCCTCACAACATCACTCCTGTGCAAAGCTATTCTTTTTGAGAGTTTCTGGCTGGTTTGACCGACATACACTTCTGAACAAGAACCACATGGAATAGAATACACTACATTGAAGTTATCCAGTTTTTTAACTCTTTCTGTCAGGTGAGTAAAGTATGTCCCTAATCTTTTGTAAACAGAATTTGCTATCACTATGTTGAACTGTCTGAAAAGGTTTGTGATCTGTGGTGATAAACCTTTGATGTAAGGCAATCTCCCATAGAACACTTCTACTGTTTCTCCTTCTAATGTTTGTTGTGTTTGTATTTGAAAAACTACCCTGTTGTTTGTAATGTTTTTATTCAAAATTTTAAATGTATTTTTTAATATTTTTAACATGTTTGTGACAGTGTTTTTTACAACTAGGACCAACTGAACATTTTCAATGTAGGTTTTTAAATGTTGATTTCCACCACTGTACTATAATAGGTTTTCCATTTAGGTGCTGATGAAGGTGACAACATATCACCGAAAATTTCACATATAGAATAAAGTTCTACACCAAGCTGGCTTATACCATCTCTAGCTGATCCTTGTTTTGACGCTTTCCCGAAAGTTACCCTCCAAAGAATTGTATTCTTAGCGTCGTTACACACACTCTATTTATATATATATATATATATATATATATATATATATATATATATATATATATATATATATATATATATATATATATTTATGCTTTCGATAATACTTATACATTCTCGGTACTAGAAAAGGTGAACATATGCGTTTTAAGATTCGATTAATAAAAAATTATTGTTTTCAGGCTTTTGGAGAAAGATTTTCTGGAGGCGACTTGGGCGTAATGAGAGATATTGTTCAAGCCGGCTTCTTGGGCAGAAAATCCGGAAAAGGCGTTTATATATACGAAAAAGGAAGTAAAAACCGCGATGTTAACGCCGAAGCACTAGAAATAGTAAAGAAATATTCCTTGGAGCCTCGAGGATCGTTTGAAGATGAAGACAAAACTTTGAGGATGGTTACAAGGTAAGTAAGAGTAAAAGTCCGTTTATTTGATGGATACATTTTTTTAAAGAGTAAAACAACAGTAAATCCTCTTATCAAGATTTTATATACTTACACAATACCTAATTCGAATATCAGTCATAGTAAAATATTTAAAAATTTCACAATGAACTTAGCAAATGGTCCCTTAACTTCTCAGCTGCCTTGTAGAAGAAATTTACGTTTGTGTCTATTAACAAATTCTATTTTTTGTGGATGGCCACTGTTGTTTTTTTCACAGTTGTGGTAATTAAGAGTTCGCAGTAAATGATTTAAATACTCTATTCTACAGTAAGAACTAAAATTAAACATGTGCTACATTATTCAATATGATTACAAGTGACAGTTGATAACCGGAATCACTACTGACATTATGAACCAGTGTTGCCAAGTACAAAATATCCATACTCCTCGATTTGAAATGTGGCAACATGAACTTTTATAATTAACTAAATGATATTACAATTCACATAACATAAATTTTATTGCTTAGAGATTTAGAGATTTAGTTGAAATATCGGCTTAATTTTCTTCAGTTTATATATAACCATTACAACTTCTTTCTTAAAAAGTCCTTTAAAAAAATGATTTTTTATATCTGTTTTTCTCCTTTAGAATTTTCATTACTGTTAGCCAATAAAATTGTACCTTTATTATCACAATATAAAATTGTTCTAACTATTACATTAAAATTTTCCAATATACCCTTGACATTGATTGAAGTTGAACTGTTTATGCTGCTGTAATATACTCAGTTTCTGCTGTTGATAATGTTACACCGTTCTGCTTTGAAAACTATAATATTGGGTTATTACCATATAACAACATACATCCATTCACACCTTTCCTATCTTTCTTATCCGTTGACCAATCGGCATCTTAATACCCTTCCAGTGTTATTTGACAATCTGTAGTTTTATAATAAGTTAATACACATTCCTTACTTGTAGATATTTTAAAATTCTTTTTCCAGCCATGGCTCTGCAGTAAGACAATCTAAAAATCAGTCCTCCAGTTAATTGCCTGTAAGGAATATTAGTTAGAAGTGTGTCTTTTCCTTTGAAGTCATCTTTGGTTTACATTCCTTCCTAGTAATGTTCATACCTATTTTTTTAACTTCCTTTAAAGCTTTTGCCCGAAAATGATCTTGTAATATTTTTATACTGTGCTTGACATTCTTATCTTCACCCATTAATAATGTATCACTTACATATATTAATAACCAAACATTTTTGTTATTATATTAACAATAATACATAGATCTTTCAAAATTATTACTTTCGCCACTTGCATTTGTGACCATTATGGAGAAAGAAATACGCAGGCAAATATTAACATTTGGAAACGAAGATATTAAGTTATTTTCGTATTAAACCTGTACCAATTCCAAAGGAGTGTCTATTTTCAATTGGGAAAGAGACAACAAATGCTTTAAATGAATACATTGTTGGGTAAATTACTCATCCGAATCCTCCTTGTATTTCTGTTGTAATTCGGTTGCTGATCTGAAAATACCTTCATCTTTCGCAGTTTTTAGTTTAAACAAAAATTCAGATTTTCTTAAACAAGATTCATAACTATCAGATCGACGAATAATCTCCGACTTAAGATTGTCTATTATAAAAATATAACATTGTCTTCGCATTTTTTCTTTTTGGCTTAAAGTTACCTCCGAATTCTTTTCTCCCAATTGCAATTTTTTTTATAATCCTCTTCTCAGCATAATTCCCTGTCATAACATTCCTAAGGCCCCTTAGTGATCAAAACGATCACGTCAGAAATCAAAGTAATCTGCTAGATAACAGATGAGTGGTTGTGCTTAAATCCATATTTTCCTTTTATACTGCTTTATTAACCTCATCAACCCTTTGTAAAACGTCAAGCCAGAATGATAAAATTGTTCCGTTTACCAACAAATCAAGTTTTCCTAATAGAGAAGCTGCTTCAACTTTTACATTTTTCTTATTTGTATCCGTTGACATTTCAATCTTGTTTGACTTCAATTTCAAACATGTTTTAATCAAGCCGTAATTTCTTTTTAATACTTTTATGGTATCAAAACGAGAAGACTAACGGATTGTATTCACTCTTTTAGGTAACAGTGTCTGCCCCGACTCAGGCGAATTCTTTATTTTTCACGAGACACCTGTGTGTAAACATGGAGAAAAAATTGTAGAGATAGATTGTACCAACATAAAAAATATGTTGCTTCCAATCAACAATCTGCTGCATTTGTGACAATCAAATTTAAAGGGTGAGCAGCATACGGCACAAAGAGAGCTAAATCATTGTAAACTCTAATACGTGCTTGCAAACCAGAATACTTGCCATTCATATTACTGGTATTGTCGTAAGACTGGCTTCTGCAATTCTTAATATATAATTTCAAACACTCCAACATCCCAATAATTGTTTCCTTAAGTTCTTGTGAGCTATGCCCAGTGTTTTTATAAAATCCCACGAATCTTTCCACGGGATTCCCTTTATATGTCAAAATCACTGTAAGTTTGTCATGGTTTGCTATGACAGGTGTTGGATCTAAACTTACAGAATAGTATTTGTTTGTCGTTATTTGCCTAACAATTTCGTCAATGACTCGATTGGACAAAATATTCAATAATTCGTTACATACATCTTTTGATATATATGACAATGTGCCTTTACCTAAATTTGCTCATTTATTATTATTAGACTTCGGCAAATATGCAAATAAAAATGTAGAAAATATGCGCATAAATATGCACGTGTTTACCCAAAAATATGCAAATATTTTACAAAATATGCATACAAATAAATAAAAAAATCGTAAAATAGTAACAATTTTATTTAAAAAAAAGTGTACATAACTAAATATTTCCTACTATTCATTAAGATTTACATTTATTTTAAGTAACTACATCATTTTTAAGTATGAATAAACTTATGTATGAATAACAAAAAATTGTGGCTTCTGTCTGAGTACATATATTTATATATGGAAAAACTTCGTTCAACATCAACTGATGTAACGGGAGCATTTTTCAAACTAACCAAAACATTTGGTTCTAAATTAATTGTTTCCGAAATATTTCCAGCTAGAACACTGACTACTTCAGAAAGAATATGGTAACCTTTATTTTTTTTCCATAGTAGCTTCAAATTTTTTTAAAATATCTTTTCCAATATCCTTACCTCTAACGTTCCAACAACATGACGCAAATTCTTTTATTAATGCTGTACTTTCGAACAATGACAGTTTTGGTGATTCTAACTGAGTAATTGTTTTTTGAACAAAACTAAAATTTGATTTTATAAATGAAAGTTCTTGTTGAAGCAAGTTACTCTGAAAAGTTTGTTTAGAATCCAAAAGAGATTGGGAACTTTCATCTGTTAACGTATCAATTATGTTCTTTATTTTAACAAAATGATCTGCATAAAAATTAGCTGCTTCTAACCATGTTCCCCATCGCGTTAAAATAGGTTGTGGTGGAAGAGGAATGTTAGGTAGCATTTCTTTATAAAGTTGAATTCTTATAGGAGATTTAAGAAATACTTTTTTGACACTGGATATCATGGTATTTACAAGAGGAAACTTTTTTCGTATTTCCTCTGCAACTCTGTTTAATCCATGCGCTACACAAGTAACATGTATTAAATGTGGGAAAAATATTTTTAAATTTTGTCCTGCTTTCACCATATAAGGAGCAGCATCCGATAAAATAAGCAGTAATTTATTAGAAGGAATAGTTGTCGGAAGAAAAAAAGTTGCTAATGTTTCTTGTATAAAACGCGAAATTGTTAAAGCATTTGTTTTCTCAAGTTGCTGGCATGAAATAAGATGAGATTTTGGTAAGGTATCTTCTTTAAGAACACTAATCAATAAATGAGCAATATACTTTCCTGAGGAATCAGTGGTTTCGTCTACAGATATGTAAAAATAATTATCTGCAATTTCTTCCTTAATATTAATTAACACCGACGAGTATAGCCCGTTCACATTATTTCTTCTTAGAGACCGATCACTTGGAACATTAAGTTTGCAATATTTTTTTAGAAACGAACTAAAATTTACATTTGCTAATTTTGAAAGCGGTAGGTTTGCAGACACTAATGCGCGACACAAGTCTTCATTAAAAGTTTCTTGCTCATCTAATTTTTTTGAAGTAGATTGGAAACATTTAGCCATTGAAGTTTGATGTTTTCTTCCTATTTTTCCTTTTTTTGCAATGTGTGAAGCAGTTCTTACATGTTGGTCTATCTGAAATTTCTTCTCACATGCTATCTATAAATAAAAATAAAAACCTTTATTTTAACCCAACCTTTAAAATATAAAAATATACAAGGTGTTTTTGGTTAATCAAATAACTGGTTTGAAAAAAAAACACTCGCTAAGTGTTTTAAATGCAGTATTAATCCACAAATTAGTTTTTGTTACTAACCATTAGTACATCATATAACTTATTTTAAAATTCAACAAAAGTTTTTTTTTGTTAATTCAATTACAATAAAAATAATTGTGTTTTAGAATAGCTGACTTCATAAAAAAAAGTAAAGGTGAAAAATTTTTCTAAATACACACCATTATATTGTACCATGGACAATTTTTTCTCACTAAAGGAAGCTATTTTTCATTTAAAAACAACCTACGAGTACTAAATTTCAAGTAAATACGTTTATTGGTTTTAAAGTTATTGTTGTTATTAACTAAAAGAATTTAATTTTTTTTTTTAAATTTTAACACCCTGTATCTCGAAAAGTAAATAAGTTTGACCCCTCATTAACTATATCGTTTTGTTCAATTTTTCGAGAAGTATCTACAGTTAAACGTTGTAAGTGTCATTTGGAAACACCCTGTATGTATGAAATATTAGATATTTAATAGAAAATATTAGATACTTACAATTTTGCCACAGACTGAACAGTAGATTTTTCCCATATCCATAGACAGCTCTTTATAAGGTTTAATCCAAATTGAAGCACTGGTTGTTTTAGGCATTATAAAATCACAATCTTCCTTTTTGTTACGCACAACGAGTGTTTACGCTTTGAATATCAAAACAAAAATGATTTACAAATCTGAGCATCAAATTAGAAATGTTTAGGTACCTAATTCAATAAACTGGGAGATTTTGGAAAATCCCTAAATTAGGAACAAAACTATTAACCGTTTACCTGCTGTTAAGATACAATAAATTGTAGATAGATTTGGGGATTAGATCATAAAATGCAAATGAGCGAACCCTTAGCGATTATCCAATAACTGAATGCCTCAGTGACCGAGACTTTCTAAGAATGTTGAGGGCTACTTAAATTGATCTTCTTTGAAATTGTAAATGTTTTGTACCTGTAGAGATTACGTACTTAGATCATTTCTTGATTAAAATGACTACAAAATTTTATACAAGAATTGAAATAAATTGGTATGTTTAAAAATTTTCAAATACAGTATAAAAATCTGAACTTTTATGCACTTTATGCAAACTTTTATACAAATATGCCAAAATATGAAATATTTGCATAAAATATGCACAATATGCAAAATATGCAATATGCATATTTGCCGAAGTCTAATTATTATGATCTTTTAATAATGGATCATATTCTGACAATAGTTCCAGTAAACCTAAGTAGTTTCCATTCCGCTTTTCGCCAATTCTTTCAAGAGTACCTCTAAATTCCAATTCCCTGGTAGCCAGTAACCTATAATTCTTTCTACTACTTTAACCAAATATTCTTTTACACTACATCAACTCTTCCTTGCTTTAATAACCGAGTCGTAGAAATTTTCAGTCATCAATCATTTTTATAATGAAAATCCTGTTTTAAATTGGTTAAATTCAACTAAGACACAATAAAGAAAAAATTAACCAGTTTTTTATAAAATATTTGCTTACTGGCATACCTGTTCTGTTCGCCGAAATTTCTTTTTGACATTGAAAAGTCCATATCTGTAAGATTCTGATCGACCCATTTTTCTAGAATCATTTCTCCATAATTATGGTAATCTTGCCAAAGTGCTTAATCTTTAAAGTTAGGTAAATCCTGTTTTGGATCTGAAAAGAAATAAAAAAAATTATTTGTCATTGTCCTGTTATAGTTACCATTTGTAAAGGAACCGTTATCTTTTTTGCATTTTAGCCTCGTTACAAAAAATTTAAATATGCCATACCTGAGTTACTGGTGGTCGCTTCATCATCTTCTAATACTTTTGAAATAAACTTTGATAGTATACAAGGCAACTATCGAACACAGTGATTAATTAAATCTTGCCCAAGTACTTTCGATCAATAGATCATCTTCAGGGGCATTTCGTCAGTTGTGGCCTATCCGACATGAGTAGAATGTCATACATGTAAATTTCTACATAACAATACAATACACAAAGACAAACACTTTAAAATTTTTTTAAAAAGGAGAAGCTACATGTTATATAGAAGCCAGAGACAGAATTCTTCTGTCTCCGGCTTAAAAAAATTTTAAAGTGTTTGTTTGTCTTTGTGTATTGTATTGTTATGTCCAAATTTACATGTATGACATTCTACTCATGTCGGATAGGCCACAACTGACGAAATGCCCCTGAAGATGATGTATTGATCGAAAGTACATGGGCAAGATTTAATTAATCACTGTGTTCGATAGTTGCCTTGTATACTATCAAAGTTTAATTATTCGAACATTCAACCTTATATTGACTTTTGAAATAGGTGATACTAAGTGATCTGGCACTGATTCTGAAGTCTCCAAAATAGGTTCAAAGTTAATGATAACACAAAATTTTATTATTAATATTTCATGTGGATTTGTATGCAAATCTTATTTCACCATAACTATATAATTTCGGAACAGCACGCGCTTCGCGCGTACCACCCGGGAACCTTCAACCGCCCGGTGCTACAGTCCCGAAAAGACTCCTGGTTAAACCGGCGCGGCGCTGCAATACATTTAATAATTACCATCCTTCCAGTAGTATAGTTACTCTGAATTTTCAATTGTTAAAAACTTGTAGTATTTGTCACCTGAGGATCATTGACGATTGTATTAGCCATTTTATATGTCACGCTTTTTTTTTCATTATTTTTTGTCTGTCTCCAGTTATGGTATTTAAATACTATACAGTGTGTAAAAGTCAAATGGAATAAATTCATTATTTAGGTTACTGTACATATTTATAAAAAATCCCGAAACACGTCAAATTTAAATTATAACTTGACATTCTTTAACGTGAAAATGCAACCCCTACCTTCAACCCCCTTAGAATGACAGGTACAACCCCCAATTTTTAAAATAGGAAGTACAGGCTTGTGATATATCGTTTGAAAGGTCTTTTCATTCTCCATTCAAAAATGTTGTCGCTTTCAAGTTTATTAAGATTAATTAAGATAAAATAAATTAAAATCATGTGGTTACCGAAATTCGCTACAATACAATCAAAAACTAAAATGTAATGCAAAACGTAATAAAATGTATAACACGAAAAAGAACTATGTTAATGTTAATGAAGTAGATGTTCAAAATGTTCACCACGTCTTGGCAACATCCTAATCTCAAATAAAACTGTTTTTTAATATTATTTAACATAACATGCGTGATCGACCTAATCTCAAGCGTATAAGTCATTTAAATCAGAAGGTTTAGTTTTGTACACATGGCTCTTCACATATCCCCAAAAAAGAAATCTAATAATGTAAGATCAGGTAATCGTGCTGGTCATTCAAACGATCCTCGTCTCCCGATCCACCGATTGACAATCATGACGGAATGACATCATTTTGAAGTAGTGCCAAATAATTGTTGTCATTCAAGTTGCCCTCAATGAAAAAGGGACCAATGATATTGTTTCCTACAATCCCTGTTCAAACATTAACCTTTTGAGGGTATTCAGTGTATTCTTCTCTCATTCAGTGAGGATTTTCTGTGGCTCAGTAGCGGCAATTTTGACGATTAGCATGACCGTTAAGTGAAAAAGTACACTCATCAGAAAACATATCACATATCCCCATAAAAAGAAATCTAATAATGTAAGATCATGTCACCGCGGGGAACAAATAACGGGGTCTATCATCCTTCTATTGCCTCCGGATGCTCTGTAGAGGGCTTCGAAGACGTCAACGAAAGCACCTCTACCCATATTTACTGGATAAAGACTTGTAAAATTTTCTTCTGATGAGCTCGTCTTGAAAAAGGCGAGCTATTTCTTACATGACATACGATGAAGTTGTCGAAATAGACATCAGGTTCTCAGCTTCGGTGACTTGCCTTGAGGGACTGCCCAGGTTGACCTGAAAATCGCCTATTTTTATACACGCTGAAGTAGCGATAAATAGGGATTTCCAGGTCAGGGACCAATAGGAAATATGAGGGGCGGGGCGATGCGTCTCGAGCGCGAACTAGTCGCGTCCGAGAACAATCAGGTGATCGCGCTGGCCAGTCAATCGATCCTCGCCTCCCTATCTACCGATTAGGAAATATTATATCGAGGTACTGCCGGACATTAAGTTAGTAATGTGAATTAAGTTTCCTGGAACAGGATATAAATTTGCCAACGTTGGAATGACATCATTTTGAAGTAGTGCCAAATAATTGTTGCCTTTCAAGTTGCCCTCAATGAAAAAGGGACCAATGATATTGTTTCCTACAATCCCTGCCCAAACATTAACCTTTTGAAGGTATTGAGTGTGTTCTCTCATCTAGTGAGGATTTTCCGTGGCCCAGTAGAAAATTTTGCCGATTAGCATGACCGTTAACTGAAAAAGTACACTCATCAGAAAACATAACGTCGTCTAATTGGATAAAATTGTTATCCAACATGTCCATCATTTGCTCACAAAAAAAGTTCTATCAAAATCGTCTTTCATGAGCTCCTGAGTAGGTATCACCTTAAAGGGATGCAATTTATTTTCTTTTAATATGTTTACTATCGATGTACGGCTAGCATTGAATGTAGTGGATGCCTGTCTACTCGATGTATGTGGATTTTCCTGAAACTCAAGCAACACATCTAATTTGAGTTCATCACTCAGTGCATTGGCAGCTGCTTTTTTATCTGCCTTACATGACCAAACTCGCGAAACTGCTTCTCTATTTTACTTATTGTTCCTTGGGATATAGGCGGTAAATTAGGAAATTTCTCATGAAATAGCGAGTTACTTCCTGTTGTGTTCGGGTGTTATCTCCGTAACCAATCATTTGTAAAACTGTTATTTTATGCATTTCTGTTAATCTAACCATTTTTCAGAATTGAATTGAACAAACTTTTTACTTAAATTAAAGTACTGACAACTTAAATAAAACAAATTTACTAATGCGTGTTAAAATAACGTTGCCACGGAAATTCTTTAGAAGTTTTTTAATGGTTACCATCTAAAAACCACATTGCTATGGTTTTTGTTCACTTTCTCATTATCAAGACCTAAACGGGAAATAAGTTTTGAGTATATTTTAGCGAATTTCGGTAACCACATGATTTTAATTTATTTTATCTTAATTAATCTTAATAAACTTGAAAGCGACAACATTTTTGAATGGAGAATGAAAAGACCTTTTAAACGATATATCACAAGCCTATAGTTCCCATTTTAAAAATTGGGGGTTGTACCTGTCATTCTAAGGGGGTTTAAGGTAGGGGTTGCATTTTCACGTTACAGAATGTCAAGTTATAATTTAAATTTGACGTGTTTCGGGATTTTTTATAAATATGTACAGTAACTTAACTAATGAATTAATTCCATTTGTACACATTGTATAATTAAAACTGCACATTACTGCTACATTATTAAATAACGTTACACGTGACAGTTGACAACCGGAATCACTACTGACATTGTGAACTAGTGTTGTCAAGTACAAAATCCCAATAGCCACATACTCGGAAGAAATAATATCTTATCTGGATGATTTGAAAATTTCTTTCCTATCTGCCTACATATTGATTTTTTCATCTGTGAATTATTTATATTGGTATCTCTATTAATTAATGTTCTTTTTGTAGATTTGTAAATGAAGCTGTCCTATGCTTAGAAGAAAAAATTCTCGCTAATCCATTAGAAGGAGATATCGGTGCAGTATTCGGTCTGGGATTCCCACCATTCACCGGAGGTCCCTTCAGATGGGTCGACCAATACGGTGCAGCCAAACTAGTATCTAAAATGGAGAACTTCGAACGTTCCTACGGACTTCCTTTTAAACCTGCTCAAACTCTTATTGATATGGCTAAGGACCCCAGCAAGAAGTTCCATCCTAAAACAGCAACATAAGTGTTATATTGTTCAACGTGCCTTTTTCTATAAAACTTTTGTTCGGTATTTAGAATATGTTTATCAAGTTCATTGTTTTAATTAGGGATTATTTTTTATATGATAGTCTCAAAAGTAATTTTTATAAATATAATAAATAAGTACTCTCTGTAAATACATAATATATTTTCATAAAGTTTTTTCTGTGTATAAATTATTTTTCCAACCCTTATATGAGTTTTTATTTTAATTAAAGAAGCCCCCATAAATTAGGAAGCAGATGCGCGGCTAATATGAAACTTGGAAATAGTCACGATATATGAATATCTGGATATGATACAGTTGGGGCCATTGATCTCTCTCTCTCTCCACTGAATGGCATTACAGCTCAAATAGAGGCTTTCTCAAAACTATGTCTTCAACCTTGTCCGTCCCGCACAGCTCTTCTATAAGTTCTCACACATTTGGTGTGTCTGCTGCCACTTTATCCTCCCACTCTTTCCGAGGCCTTCCTTTTGATTTCGCGACCTGCATTTTACTATCTACAGTGTCACCACAGATATCCCATATTATAGAAGTTCTAATGGCCCCATCATTCTGCACATTGGTATAAGGGAAGCAGGAATATGACAAATTTCGAAAAAACCTGAACAACGTAGTCGTTAGATCAGGACGCACATCAGGAACATCATAAATAAGATCAGGGATACCGAATGGATGATTCTAAAACTTCTGAAGAGTCGATTGTAGGAGTAATACATTAAATGCAAATCAGCAAGCCTTAAGAGTTTAAGCTAGAATTGCATGCACGAGATATCACATTGGCCTTTAAAAATAAAGCTGCTTACATTCTCCGTATTATTCTAGGGACTTAATGTAAGCGTGTACATTAAAGAGATAATTTAAAAAATGATTCAAGGCCTGTAGCGTTATAAACGTCACATGCTTGATATTTTTCAATTTGAATCTTTCTCTTATATTCTAATTACGTATTCAGACCCAATATCTACTCCATTCTATTATATATCATAGACATATATACAATGTCAATACACTACCTCAGTCGACAAAATATATTTGTCAGTTGGCAACTTCGTTCTGTCATGCCAGTTTTCAGTTCAATTTAATAGAAAGGGGAACTTGTTTTTATAATATTTTTCGTCTATTTACGCTGATGTTTTAGATTGAAAATTCATTTATATCGTCATATCTTTGCTTGGGCTTTATTGGCATATATAAATTTTTCCCTTGTCGAATTCCTAAAGTCCGTGGTGATCCCTATGAGATCACACATGAAATAACAGTTGCAGCAGCTAGCAGCATAGCAAGAAAAACTCGACATATGCGTGAAATCACAATCCATCTATATTTAAACCAGAATCTGAAGCCAACAACCACATTAACTACAATCCATCCAACCCATATCTGAAGCCTATTATTCAGTCATCTGCATGAAACTAATAGTGCAATAAATTGTAATTTTTACATTTTTGTAAAGCTGTAGGCAGGATTTGATTTGCGTTAATATTAAAATTTCATTTTATTTTATTTTGTACAATAAATATAATTAGTTAATATTGTAGTATATTTATATTGTTCTAATTTATTTGACTTTATTCTAATTTATTGTCTATATTCTAATTTATTAAAACTCACGATAACTAAATTACTAATTTATTAAATAACTGTACAAATTTATGTTACGTTCGATACATTTTAAAATCGCGTTTCCCGAGCTTCTTTCTTCACTGACTGACCCCCTCAATGAGAATCACCGTTACTTATACATCAAATGCCGTTATCTAGAGACATCTGGCTAGGCATCGATCGTTCCATCCATTAGGTGAGTCATTCTCGGCCATCGACTGCATTATGGTTACCTGAATATTCGACCTTTCTTGTAGAAGGGTCTAGTATTTTCTGTCGGCAGGTAACAGGTATGAGCGCCGGAATTACTACAAATAAAAAATAATTAGTCACCATATATTTACAATTTTGGGTCAGAATTTATCGTAACAATATTCTGTTCTATTTGTCCCAACCAAGCTCATTTTTCAGATTTGCATTTAACATAAGACGTTCTCACACCTGAGAGAATGAGCTAGACGGAAGCCTTAATAATTGGCTCCCAAAAAAGTTGAAGTACAGACTTTTAAATTATGGAACTACAGAATATTACTCAAAATAAGCTGCATATATTGAGTCACGAATGTCGAAGTGTTGAGAAGGATGTCAAGAACTTTTTAAACACCATTAAGATTGTTATATAGTTACAATATATAGGACTTACAATGAGAGGATACCGTTATAACCAATGACGTATAATAATATACGTCATTGGCTATAACTTCAAGTAATAATGCAAAAAAATACAAGAAGTCGAGGAAGGAGACGTATTTCTTGGTTGAAGAACTTGAGAGCCTAGTTTGGACGAAATTACGTTGATTTAAAGAAGAGGATAAGTACATCTTCTTAGTTCAGGCGAAACACTTTTATCTCTCTCACCTAGTTATAAAACCTTTGTACCAAACTCGTGTCTTTTTTCCATTTAACTCCAATAAGTCCAATGATCCCAATTAAGGCAAACAGTTTCCTCATTGGTTGTTTAAAGATTTTTTTTGGTTCAAGCTTTGGTTTTATTAAATGATAATGTCTAGTCACCATTTTGATGACCGTTTTAATCCCTCGTTTATTGAATTTCATCAAAGTGTCTGAGAGTTTTTTTATCTATCTTCTATTACTAGTTCCATGACCGTTATCGATCGTTGGATATCATGTTGGCTACTATTTTCGCTATAGTGACCTTATTGACAGCAGCTATAAATAATGAAGAATAAGAATTCTTCTACTAGGACCACGTTTACCTTGGATCTCTCCCTGAATGATCAGTTGTAAAAGTTCATATTTTTCAGGGTGTCTCATAATGTGACCGAAGTATTTCAGCTTACGTCTATTATATTAACCAGTTGTGTTGTTTGGTTAAGGCACCTAGGGACCTTGTCATTTCTAACTCTGCTTACTCAGCTGATTAGTATTAGGTGCCATATCTCAAAGGCTTTCAAGCGTTTAAGCATCACCTAACTTAGGGTCCTTGATATTACTGCCGAGATACACAAGTTTCTCTACTCTGTCCAGTACGCCATCTCCGACTTTTATACCGTCATCTTGCATATGGTTTTTTTTTTTTTATTTAAACATACAAAACCCACATCAACCACCAAGGGTTATTAGTGGGGGGACATACACAGTAGTACAGTTTGTTAAATTAAAGTTTATTATAAATGTTTATGTCTTTTAGAAACTGCAATAAATCCGAGATATTTGTCGTAAGCGCACTTCTCAGGTTTCCACTAATTCCTCGGCATGTTCTCTGAGGTTGGAACTGCGGACAGTCGACTATCAGATGCTTCACCGTGAGTTGAGTAGAGCAGTAGGTACAAATTGGAGCTGGTTCTTTATTTAGAAGGTGTTGGTGTGTTAGTCTTGTGTGGCCGATTCGAAGACGATTTACGATTACTTGATCTCTTCTTTTTCCTTGTTGTGGTAGGCTAGAGTCTACTCGAGGCTTTATTGTTTTCAACTTAGAGTCTGTTGCATCCCAGGTTGCTTGCCATAAATTTATTATATGATTCATGGACTGTCGTTTATGGTCGGTGTGGGGATATTTAGTAATTTCTGGAACATTTTCATTTCTGATGGATTTTAATGCTAATTGATCAACTTCCTCGTTGCCTTTAATGCCAATGTGTGAAGGTATCCAGATAAATGTAACCTTTTTATTTATATGGTGTAGTGCATTAAGTTTATTTCTTATGTTTTGTGCAATAGGATGGCTAGGGTAAAGTTGATTAATTCCATGAATTGCGCTCAGTGAATCTGTGATGATTAAAATATTATTTTCAGTCGTTGAAGAGGATTTCTTGATAGCTTCTAATATCGCTGTGGTTTCTCCGGTGTAAATGCTGCAATGCTGTGGAATTCTAATGGCATATTTGTAATTTTTATTTGTGAGGGCTGCAGCATGGCCACTTTCAGTTTTTGATGCATCTGTGTATATTATGTGGTGATTTGGATACTTCTCCATAATTTCTTTGAATGCGTTAATGATAAGGTTAGGATTTGTGGTATTTTTTGGATACTGTGTTAAAGTTAAATCGGTGATAGGTAAGGGGGTAAGCCATGGAGGAAAGTCTAATTTTGTAGTTATGGATAATTTGAATTCATTGCAATTGAATCCTTTTTGATTGATTCTTTCCCTAAAGGGTTTGTCTTTATATTGTTTGTTTCTATACAAATTGGATGTAGGTGCGTTAATAATCTCAGAATATAATGGGTGCTTTTTATTGGAAGATATTCTTGATGCATAATTTAAACTAAGCAGATGTCGTCTTAAATGTAGAGGGGGTTCTCTTGATATTACTTCTAAGCTGCTTACAGGACTGGTTCTGAAGGCACCGACGGCTAATCTTAGAGCTGTTGTTTGAATTGTGTTAAGGTTTTTTAGAAACGTTTTATTTGCTGTATCGTAGCATATTGCACCGTAGTCTAGTTTACTGCGAATAATTGATTTGTAGAGGTTAAGCAGAATACTAGAATCAGCTCCCCATATATTATTGGATAGAATTTTCAGCAGGTTTATTCTATTTTGACAAGTTAGTTGTAAAGTCGTAATGTGTGTTTTCCAGTTTAATTTGTAATCAAACGTTAGGCCCAAAAAATTCGATTCCTCTGAATGAGATATATTTTGACCGTTAAATATTAATGAAACAGGAATGGTATTCTTGCGTTTGCTGAAAACTGTGTAATGTGTCTTATTAGTTGAAAAGAGGAAGCCTGTTTTGGAAGACCATTCTTCGATTTTGTATAGAAGGTTCTGTAGTATTTTAGCCCCAGATGTAATATTTTTGCATTTAATATACACAACTAAATCATCAGCGTATAAGTTTGCTTTTATAGGAGGCTTAATTGTATTTATTACATCGTTAAATGCAATTAAAAATAAAGTTGGGCTTAAAATAGAACCTTGTGGAACACCGTTGTCGAGTATTCTAGTGGTAGAGGTGTATCCATTTACTCTTACTTGTATTTCTCTTTTATTCAGAAAGTTTTTTATAAACGCAAGCATAGTCCTTGAATTCCCCATTTATCAAGTTTATTTAATATGAGGTATCTCCATGTTGTGTCGAAAGCTTTATTCACATCAAAAAAGACTGCTATAACTTTCTGATCTAGTA